CTACCACTACTACTACCACTACTAGCTACTACCACTACCTACTGCTAGTTACCACTACCTGCCCCGAGTCCCCTCCAAATCCTCTGCCCTTGGCCTGCAGCCAGGGACCTAAACCCTAAACCCTTAACCCTGAAACCCTGAAACCCTAAAACCCTGAAACCCAAAAACCCTAAACCCTAAACCCTGTTTAGAGGTTTAAAGTTTAGAGCAACAGAAGGGGCCTGCAGCCAGGGGAGCGGCTTCGGGAAGACGTAGTTGGAGCCCACCAAGGGCTCCTGGAGTCGCTCGCTGAAGGACTCGGCTCCGGATTTGTATCATTTAATGTAGGGGCCTTAAGAATTAGAATAATTTAAGTTCCTGTAAAGGGATCCTTAAAGGGTTCTATAAGGGATCTATAATAGGGTTCTATACTAGGGGCCCTAAAAAATTAGAATAGGGCTTTGGGGGTATATTATACTATAACTATAATAAGGAAGCCCCAAAATAATATAGGTAATTCTTTAGGCCCCTACATTTTCGAAGGCCTTTGTACAAAGGTTTCGGGCTTTAGCGGCTCAGGGCTCGGCTTGGGAGGACGTGCCTCCAAGACAAAACCCTAAAGCCACTTGAGACTTTCCGAAAATTTGGGTGCCTTATTTTGGGGTCCTTATAATAAGGATCCTATTATTTAGGGTACTAAATTAGGGTCCCCTATTTTCGGAAACCCCCACTTCAATCTGAGTCAGCCGAAGTCTGCGCGTTCGATCTAAAGGAGCCGGGCATAAGTTGCCCTTCAGCGAAAAGGGGGACACGAAGTAAGCGCTCTCTCATCGCCACCTACCCCAAAAGCAGATGAGCGGACTCAAGGGATCCAGGCTTCGGGATTTATGGTTTGAAACGCTTCGGAGCATTTCAAACTAATCAGTCTGCCTGGCTTCCGGCTTTATGGCAGCAATCCCTCACAACCCTGATAGGAGGAGCCCTGAAGGTGACCTCTGTACTTTAATGATTCTATTTCCGAGTGCTTCTCTTGGGGACCCGTCCTGCGATGCTGAACCGACGATCCGAATCCCCACCTAAGGACTAGGGTGGAGCTCTTCTCGCAACCCGAGTCAACACAAAAGAGGCTTGAACCGAGGCACCAGAAAGCGAATTCCTAAAAAACACTCCATTTGGTCTTGAGAACCCGGGTTCGGTAGCGGAACTGGGGTTCGAGGCTTAGGGCGACCCCGCCTTCTGCACGGGCTGCACATCCTGGCGGCATCAGGCATGGGCTTCCGAAGGGTTCAGGATTTAAAGGTCGCAGGGTTCCTGCATGAGACCTGAAATAAGCTAAAACGCCGATTCCGAAACTCCTCAATCCTAAACCGGTGGCTAGGAGGCCACAGGGAGTGTGCCGCCTCCTTGCCGAAGATCAGTCCGCCGATCTGTGTCCTGCAACGACTGCGCTGCGCAACGAGTGGAAGATTCTAGGATTTCGTGTCATGGAAATGTTTTGGGTTTCTGGAGGGTGTGAATAGGGTCTAGAGAACCCGTGTAGATTAGGCTCCTACAGCTTAGGGATTGGGGTGCCATATTTTCTAAAACTTCCGTTTTTGCGCACGGCGTGTGGATCAGGGCTTGATCGTCCACAGACTGCTCACTGAACCTGTGGTATGACTACACCAATAAAACCTTGAGCCCAAAGCCCTGTCCATAAGGAACATGTCGGCTTGTGGTGAGATCCTGCTTCCTAGACCATCCAAGGCTGCTGGAGCAGTGCCCACTCGGCACAGTCCGTCCTCGGCTGAAGAGGTCCAAGCATCTGCTTAGCAGACCTGCCCCAAGAGACTGCAAAGAAATAAACAAGATTCTCGAGATGATTCCAGGTGAGACTGCAGAAAATTCCTGCGGCAGCAGTAGCCGCGGTGGTGCCGGTGTCCGTCGTGAGCCTCACAATAGTAGTAGTCGTCGTCGTGCGAGGGTGAGGAAGAAAAAACATCAAGAGCAGCAGCGGGACCCGTCGCCGTCAATGGTATCGTTGCGCACACAGTCGTGGCTGTCGGAGTTACTGCCGATGGCCCTCTGTGCCAAACTACTAGCACTAGCAGTAGCGGTACTGGTCGTCGTTGTCGAAGTCGGCCCTCGTCGCAAAATAACGATACAGAAAACATCTAGCAGTCATCATCCAATCATCATGACATGACTACTGCTGAAAGAGTGGCTGAGGCAGTATGGAACTAGTTTGGAAGGCACTCGGTTGCGCAGCCCTGATCGAAACTGCAAGGCAACGTTTCGGCATGCCAAACTTTCGGGCTTGGGTTCGGGTGGATCCTAGCCATGTATCTTGAACTTGAAGCAGCCGTGCATCTTCAGCCGACTCTGGCTGCTGCCTGGCGCCACAGGTGGAGGTCAAAATCCGGGCGCCCGCCGCCCCCCCCGGACTTGAGCAGCACGATGCAACGTCTGAGGGTTGAGCGCAAAACAGGTCTAGCGTTTAGATGCGTTTAGGGTAGCGGTCTGGTGCGAAGAACAATCATGCGAACTGTACCGCGTAAAAAACATGACAGTACTCAGCTTTGACATCAAATCAAAAGCGGAACCTACATGGACTAGAAATCCCCCGGGTACCATAAACGAAGAGGACGCCGCCCACGACCACCAAGGATTGAACTACAGCAACCAGATAAACTCGGAAAAACCATAGCGCTACACTTGAACCCTGAACTGAACACACACACACACACACACCCTACATCCTCCTCGTCATCAGACCTTCAACTCCACAACATCCCGAGACCACGATCCTTTTGCAGCCTAAACAACCGGAAGGACGAATTCGGGAATTGCGAGCCCCATCAAGGTTTGGGGGTTATCTCTAAGCGCTGCGATTGCCCCCGTTCCGGTCGCACATCCTAAGCCCTAGAACCTGCAACCCCGAAATGGCAACCCACTTTGAACTAAAGCCCCCGAAACTCCAAGAACCCCAGACCCTAAAACCCCAAAGCCCGTATAGAACCGCAAGAACCCTAAATCATAAAGCCTGGGCCTGAACCTTCAACCCGCAGAACCCTATACCTAGCCTGAACCAAAAGCCCCACGACCCAAAACAAACCCCACATCAACATCCCTGAAACATCCCTGAAAAACATACGCTCGCAGAAATCTCCAAAACCTCCAAGCTACACCTGCCCCAAAAACATGTGTCAACAAAGAGCGCCCGTGCTTTTCTCCAACGGCCACGATCCTCACGGGATCCAACTCCTTGCTGTTGTCTTCCAGGAGGCTTCCCCTACCCCTTCGGCCCAGGCAGTTCAAGTCCGAAGACAGCGCCCGGCAGCAAGAAGTGCAGACTTTGCTCCTACGGCTTAGGGTTTAAGGAGACCTTCAGGTCTCTCGGGCCTTGGGATGTCGGATTTCTCTGCGGGGTGCCTGAGATTTCAAGAGGCGACGAGCTTCTCTGCTGCCTCTCAGGAACCCAGCCTCCGGGCTTTGCCTGCCAGTGGCGTTTTTTTCGAGGGATTTACGGAGTTCAGGGTTTAGGGTCAGGGTTTGCCTACCATTGTTGTTGATGTTCTTGTTGTTGCTGTTGTGGTTGTGGTTGTTGCTGTGGTTGAGACGGTGGCTGTGGTCGCGGACGTTGTTGTGGTGGTGCAGTTGCGGTTGGGAGCGTAATTGTAGTTTTGGTTGCTGTGGTTGTGGTCATTGTTGTCGTTGTGGTTGTGACTGTGGTTGCGGTCGTGGTTGTGGCTGTGGTTGCTGTTGTTGTTGTGGCGCAGTTGCGGTTGGGAGTGTAATTGTGGTTGTGGTTGTTGCGGTTGCGGTTGTGGTTGTTGTGGCTGTGGTTGTGGTTGCGCTTGTGCTTGGTTGTGGTTGTTGTTGCTGGTTGCCGTTGCTTTTGCTATTGAAATTGCTGTTGTTGTTGTTCTTATTCTTATTATTCTTATTCTTCTTATTCTTCTTGTTGCTGCTGCTGCTTTTTTTGTTGTTGTCGTTGTCGGTGTGGCTGCTGTTGTTGTTGCTGCTGCTGTTGTTTTGTTGCTGTTCGTGTTGTTGTTATTCGTCTGTTCCTGTATTTGTTATATTCTTGATATTTGTATTTCACGACCCTGCTATTGTTGTTGTAATTGCTCTTGTGCTTGTGATTGAGATTATCCTTGCTCTTGCTCTTGTTACTGTTCTTGTCGATGTTGTCGTAATGATTCTTGATATTGCTGCTGCCTTTGTTGTTGTTGGTGGTGGTAGTGGTGGTGTTCGTTTGTTTTGGGTGTTGTTGGTGTTGTTGGTGTTGTTGGTGGTGTTGGTGGTGTTGGTGTTGTTGGTGTTGTTGTTGCCGTCGTTGTTGTTAGTGTTGGTCTTAGTATTGTTGTTGTTGTTGCTGCTGCTGCTGCTGCTGCTGCTGCTGCTGGTGGTGGTGGTGGTGGTGGTGGTGGTGGTGGTGGTGGTGGTGGTGGTGTCGTTGTTGCCGTTATTGTTGTCGCGGTTGTTGTCGTTGCTGTTGCCGTTGCTGTTGCTGTTGCCGTTGCCGTTGCCGTCGCTGTCGCTGTCGCTGCTCTTGTTTTTGTTGTTGTTGTTGTTGTTGTTGTTGTTGTTCTGCACTAGAGCCTCGGGCTTTAGGCTGCTATGTTCGTAGTTTTCAGGGCTTCAAGGGTTTGGTAAGGGCTTCATCGTTTTCGGATAGCAGCTAGAAGTTCTTCAACCGAGACTTTACGGCTGGAGGGCTTTGAGGAAGCAGGACTGGATGAGGAAGCATGACTGGATGGTTGTAGAATTTACGGCTTAGGATTTGATTGCTTGAACTCCTCTATCTGAAGGGCTCTTCGGAAATCCCAAACCCTAAACCCCAAATTCAAAACAGACGAACCTACTAGCCGAGAAAACCCTTTGCGAAAACCTAGAGCCCTGACTGTAACCCAAAAGAACCTAAAGAAGCAACACCGTACTTTAACACCCAAAAACCTACCTAGGGAAATCATAATCGAGACCCTATACTTTAAACTCGAGACCCCAAACCCTAAACCCTCCTAAAACAATATGTGCTGCCCCGACAATTCCTGGGGCCCAAGCCAGGGCCTGTCTCCCATTCCGCCGCTTCCTCGCCGAGTGGTTCTAAGGCTTTGTTGGCCGGTGCTTTACGGCTGCTGTGGTTTGGGTTTTTTGGGCTTTTGGCGTCGGGCTTTAGGCGTGTGGGGCTGTTGCTGCAGAACTTTCGGGTTTTAATACTTTTGGTTTGCGGGCTTCGGTGTGCTTCGCGGATTTTTGGGTTTAGCCTGGAAATGCGGCAGGTAAGTAAGCGCTATGCGTAGAAACCTCTGTCCCGAGCCGTGCTTACTACATGGCCCCGATATGCAGTGCAGATCTGTCCATACCACTTGCCTTGTGATGCCTTAACTATATCAGGAAAAGTCGGTCCAAACGCGACCAAACTTTGAAGGCATTTGCTGATCCTTTCAACAGCTCCGAATACATGTGACAAATAGTCGTCGCATAGCCTTATCATAATTCTTATGGTTCCTTATTATACTCAAACCCCCAAAGCCAGAGAAGTCCAGCAAGCAAGACAAAATCTGAACCCCGAAAAACCGGGATGGATTCAGAGTTGATGTAAGCTTGCTATCGCCAGAAGCCGGCTGCACACCTGGCAAGTCGACACCCTGTCCTAGTAAGATGGGCTCGGCCCACTCGCATGTTTACTACATGTACACGAGATGAAAAGGTAGGTCACTTCTTCAAGGCAGGCCCCATCTGGGCCGCAGACATCCAGGCTTCTTTTCGTCGGCTCCGGTTCTGGATCTCCTCGAATGCCTGCAGAGAGACATACGGTGTATGCTACGAATGTGAGATATCATAATAAGGATAACGAAAAGGTCAGCACAACTTGTAGCAATAACTAAGCATAACAAATAATGACGACAGTCATAAGCAATGATGATGGTGATGAACGACAAGAAACAGGACAAGGAGGACACCGAGGAGGAGAATAAGGACGAACAAACTATAGGGGGCCTTAGTATTTAGAATAGATGCCCTCATGATCAAAATGGGGGTTCGGGGCAGATTATACCATGATCATTATAGAAGGACTGTAGGCGGATACTATTGCTGATTACAGTGTTCCGATCTGTGTAGTGATCGCCATGGTTATGTTGCCGGCGATGGCGGTGGTGATGAGCTTGATCATCATCACCAACATCAGCATCATCAGCGTAACAACGAGGAGCAAGAGGAGGCAAAAGAAGGACGGCGGAGATGCGTGATACGCTTGGCAGTTGATGCTTGTGGCAGCAATGGTACTGCATCTGCCGAGCACATATGAACAAAATCCAAACCGCAAACCGCGAACCCCGAAACTCCACACCCCACAAAACCCTCGAAACACAACACACCGAACCATATAATTACAGCCCCAATATCACTACCCCAAACCCGCCTAGCAACAAGGTCCCCTTGGCGTTCTTCAGGATCTCCAGCTCGCCGCTCAGACGCCGCTCGATCCAGTCCTCCGAGCTTCGCGCGGTAGAGTAAAGGGTGATGCCTTCAAAACTCTTTCGAAGATGCGGGAATAGGAGTCTTTTCTCGGCTAGTCTACAGTCTGCAGGCCTCAGCACTCGTACTCCCACCACCCAGCCAGCCTTTAATGCTAGCGCCTGCGGAAGCGCTTGGCGGCCTGGTTGCCGGTGTCAGTTTGAGTCTCCGTGCATACGCAGGTGTCGCGGGCGGGTGGCTGCAATGTTGCATGTTGTACCATGGTGGTCCCTCGAGCCTAATTTAATGGGGTTACTGGCTGGTATCCGACGTCGCATGACCCATGGCACAACGTTAAAGCTTTGCCACTCTGTGCCCTGACACTGCGATGCGGGATTCTTGATCGGACTCTGGACATGCACTCACGAACACAAAATTCCAAGGCGAAAACTAATGGCACCTGTCCCCGAAACAGGAATAAGGCAGGTTGTAGGAAATTTCCCGCCACTCTGGCCATGCTAGATAAGACCCAAAGCATGGAACGTTGTTTTCGTTCCCACAATCGACATGGCAATCTCCTTTTCGGGACTCGGGTCGGGATAGCGCACCTATAAAGTTGCTTGACAGGCGCATTGAGCGATGTTGAGCGGAGGCGCAGAGGGAGCCGGGTGGACGGGCACATACATCTCCAGAAACTATGTATGGTTAGAAAAGAGACCTTGCCTAGACTGTGCAAGTGCACTACGAGGCCTAACAGAATTCCGGGTTGGATAGACAGGTAGAGATATCTTCCTCCGTAGAGCTTCTGATCTCGAACACGAACAGCACCCGAAGCGCCCAGCTCTGCAAACTGACCGAGGGAGCCACAGCGCTTGACATCGGGATGCAGCATCACTTTGGACAAGGGCGGTCGATCCTATCGGTCGCAACTGAGGGCACAAAGGGCCTAGGGTTCGCGATGGGTTTTGGGTCTCGTGTGTAAGGGCTCAGGTATGGGCCTTGAGTCTAGCACCCTCAGGTTGCCTACAGCACAACCATCACGGGCATCCAGATGCAGGTGCTTCTAGCAATACAGGAGCAACCGTGAAAACCATGGCACCATGGCCAGAATTTAACAGTGTAAATCACATGATGATAATAAACCCAGCAATACGCACAACAGAGACAACAGATTATGTTTCTTGCTCGTTCTACGGCAAGCTGCCTGTGACTTTGAAGTAGTAACAATAATAGAAGGAACAACGGTAGCAGTGCTTCTACTAGTAGCAGGCGTAGTCGCAGTCGTAGTCATAGTCGTAGTCGTTATCGTAGAATAGCAATAGCAGGAGTTATAGTAGCAGTGATAATGACAGTAGTAGTAGTATTGGCATTGGGGACGTCGCACTGGTTCGAAGTGCTGGACGAATGAGGACAAGTGCATATGCACCCGGCCACTCTTCTGGCGGCATTGCTCAGATGGCAATTCCTAGGTCATACAAAGATTGCTGTAGCTATGTGAAGCTTGCAGCATGAGAGCTAATCCATGGCATCCAAAACTAGCGGCTCAGCAGATCCACATTCCGCATACTCAGAGGGCTCACATCCAGTCGCAGCGGTCGCTCCACTAACGTCTGGGCTCAGAGTTTTTCCAGGCCGCTCCACGGAAGATGAGGAACCTCCACCCCCAGTCGTACTGATGCGGGTGGCAGCAGCAGACGCATGCGCTGATGCATCATTTTCCATGCCGCGCACTTGCACCACCGACTGACGTTCATGGCAGGCATCCGTGTGGTCGGCTCCTCTGCGCCATACGCACAGTGTGCAGCAGTGAAGGTGTGTGAGGCCAGCTGTACGCTGGCAGCCCGAGGTGACACACGTACTGATCCTGGCTCGGAGCGGTTGCATCTGTACTTTGATCCATGCACGATCACATCTTTCCGTGTGTAGTCCAATGGAGCAGTGGCCGCAGCAATGTGAATGTTTACCATTGCTGTAGCTTCGATCACAGCCAGGCGTTGCGCAGGCACGAAGTTCAGCTCCTCCATGCGGTACACCTCGGCGACGATGGCGACGCCCTCGTCCAGAGGAGTGTAACCCGGCTGCACCACCTGTCGTGCCTCGATTGAGCCATTCATTACAGTTCAGAGCAACCGGTGGAGCAGGAGCTGAGTACGTCGTGTTGGTCGTAGCAGTGCTGGTCGGACCTGGTGTAGGAAAAACAGCAGAATCTGCAGCACTAGAGCTGGCATTGGCCCCGCCAATGG